CTGATCTTAAGCATCATTTTTAGAATTCAAAGGAAAACTAAATTATTCATCACATTTGACCCCCCGTCATGAATTGGCCTGTACTCCCTAGATTGTTTTAGCATACATTTTTCTTGTTTATCCTCAACTCTTTAAGTCGATGAAAACCAGGTGTTTGAAAGTAGTTTGACTCTATTAATTTTATAAAATGTTTTGAATTTGAAACTAGCTTTCTTTAGTACTTCATTAATTTTATAAAATGTTTTGAATTTGAAACTAGCTATCTTTAATAGCTTAAGTCACATAAATTGTCTTTGGCTCGTCACCTTTGACGATTAGTAGGTGGAGACCAGAAGGGTCGGAAACCTGGAAATGAAACAATCATGGGTTGAAACCTTAAATGGAGGAATTTGCTCCGAAGTAGCTTTGATTATTCTTTGAAATTTGTTTCTACTTGAAAAGGTAAGATCAACCTTACAAATCAATCCTATTATATTTACTCAAAACTTGAGTTTTAATCGAAACATGGGGTTAGTAATTATCCTTCAAGATCACATCGGTCCAACTAATCGAGTCAAATTCAAATTGTTTATGTAAGATCCCTAGAATTTTATCAACCACCCGAGTTGTAATTAAGATTTTGAGCTCATTAATCATCAAAGCCCACCATCAATTGCATCATTTAAAGCTTTTAAATAAAATATAATTAAGGAACAATACATAAATAAGGTGGTTACTATATACAATTACATTTTTATGAAATTAGTTTTAAACATCCAAAAATCAAGTTGCAATTAAATTTTATTAAATAAATAAATTTATCTTATTAATTAAATATATTAAGGTTACAATTATACAATTTACAATTATAATTACGCATTTATAGGTCACAATTTATTTATCGATCACAAATTATCAAATTAATGTATCACACATTATTTTTTTTTATTACAAATCATAAATTTTAGAGGTTATAATTTATTTCTCGATCACAAATTTCATAGGTCACACTTTATTTATCGATTATAAATTATCAAATTAATAAGTTACATGTTATTTTTAGGTCACAAATAATAAAATTTATAATATCAATCACATGTTATCAAATTAATTAATTACATATTATTGTTTGGTCTCAAATCATAATTTTCATAGGTCACAATTTATTTTTTGGTTTTAAATTTTGTATATCATTATTTATTTATCGATCACAAATTATCAAATTAATAAGTCATATATTATTTCTATGTTACAAATCGTAAATTTTATAGGCCAGAACTTATTTCATGATAACAAATGATCAAATTTATTGATTACAAACCCTCTTTATACAATCTCAATCCCAACCCCATCACCACGTGCGCCACCTTACCATCACCACTACCGTCATAGCCTATACCACAAGCACCTCATCACAACCACAACCAACACCATCATCATCGCCAAAACTACTACCAGCATCATCACTGTCCCTTGTGCTTCCTAGATTGTCTTAGTGCACAATTTTCTTGTTTATCCTCAACTCTTGAAGTCAATGAAAGCGGCCTTTTTGAGTTTGAAACTAGCTTTCTTTAGCGGCTTAAGATGCATAAATTCTCTATGGTCCATCTCCTTTGGTGACTAGTATATCGAGACTGAAAGGGTTGAAAACTCAGGAATGAAAACTTTAAATGGAGGAATTTGCTCTAAAGTAACTTTGATTATTCTTTGAAATTTGTTTCTACTTGAAAAGGTGAGATCAACCTTCCAAATCAAGCCTATTATATTTACTCAAGACTTTGAGTTTTAATCGAAACATGGTGTTAGTATTTCACTTCGGCAACATTAAGATTATCCTTCAAAATCATTCAAATTCAAATAATTAATGTAAGATCCCTAGATTTTTGTCAACCACCCTAATTGGGAACAATACATAAGTAAGGTGGTTACTATATACAATTACATTTTTAAGAAATTAGTTTTAATCATTCAAAAATCATGTTGTAATTAAAATTTATCGATTAAATAAATAATTAAATTTATTTTATTAATTAAATATATTAAGGTCATAATTATACAATTTACAGTTATAATTATGCACTTATAGGTCACTACTTATTTATCAATCATAAATTATCAAATTAATGTGCCATACATTTTTTTTTGTCACAAATCACAAATTTTAGAGGTCACAATTTATTTCTCGACCACAAATTTCATAAGTTACACTTTATTTATCAGTTACAAATTATCAAATTAATAAATCAACCATTATTTCTAGGTCACAAATCACAACTTTTATAATATCAGTTGCAAGTTATCAAATTAATTGATCACGTATTATTTTTTGGTCTCAAATTACAAATTTTGTATGTCACAATTTATTTTTTGTTCACAAATTTTATAGATCACAATTTATTCATTAGTTACAAATTATCAAATTAATAGGTTGCGTATTATTTCAAGGTTACAAATCACAAATTTCATAGGTCACAACTTATTTAACGATCACTAATCATCAAGTTTATTGATCACAAACCCTCTTTATACAATACCAATCCCAACCACACCACCAAACCACCACCAGTGTCACCTGTGCTCCCTAGATTGTCTTAGCACACAATTTTCTTGTTTATGCTCAACTCTTGAAGCCAATAAGAGCGTGATTTTTGAATTTGAAACTAACTTTCTTTAGTAGCTTAAGACGCATAAATTGTCTTTGGGTCCGTCTCCTTTGACGACTAGTGGTTCAAGATAAAAAAAAAAAAGGTTGAAAACTCGGAAATGAAACAAAAATGGGTTGAAACCTTAAATGGAGGAATTTGCTCCAAAGTAGCTTTGGTTAGTCTTTGAAATTTGTTTCTACATGAAAAAATAAGATAACCTTCCCAATCAATCCTACTATAATTACTCAAATAATTACTCAAAACTTGAGTTTTAATTGAAACATGGGGTTAGTATTTCACTTCGTTAACATTAAGATTATCCTTCAAAATCACATCGGACCAACTAATCAATTCAAATTCAAATTATTTATGTAAGATCCCCTAGAATTTTATCAACCACCGTAATTATAATTAAGATTATAAGCTCCTTAATCATCAAAGCCTACCCCCAATTGCATCATTTAAAGCTTTTAAATAAAATATAATTAAATTCACATGCAAGACAGTCCATTATTAATTATTTGGACTTTCAAACCCCAAAGCTCATTGTTTTGCATGTGTGAGAGCTACATATTTGATCAACTTGTACTAACTTCTGCAAAGGAATGCAAAAGGTTTTGGGATATATATAAAGAAATTTGGGACCATAATGCACTTGACAAAGAACATGAACCCTAGTCCTAGTGTATAAAAGATTGAGGACGACACCCCACTTGATCTCGAATCAACGAACGAATTTATTCCGTGCATGTTCATCCACTTTTTGAGATAGGACATGACAAGTTGAACTATCTTTACAAGACTTTGTGGTGTAGAATTCTTATTCTGAAGATAGTGTATATGGTAAAGTTTATTTTTTAAATTTGTAAGGTACTTGATATCATTTTTATTTACATATTTTGTAGGACTCACAATTATATATATATATATTTGGAAATGATTTAGCTCCCGTTTTCTAGAAATGAAAATGGGTAGAATAGTATTATTTTGAAAAATGAGTGGTTAAAAAAGAAGGAAAAGTTTTCGACTTATGTGTAATATTATTTTATTAAAAATTATGTGATTGAAAAAAAGAGAGAGAAAAATGAAATGTAATGTAATGAAATTTAATGAAGACTTAATGGACACCAGTGCTTAACTTATGTTAAGTACCGATGACATGACACACCATCTGATTGGTGAATAAGTTAATGGTATGTCCATGAATTTAATAATTTACCAATTAATTATCGTGACATGTCATCGGTGTTTAATATAAGCTAAGCATTGGTATCTATTAGATCATTTCCCTATATATATATATATATATATATATATATATCATAAGAACCACATCTTATACTTCCTCCATCCCATAAAGATATTCCTATTTCTTTTTCTTTTTCTTTTTTTCCACACAGATTAAGAAAATTTAGATAATACAATTGAAATAGATTTACTATAATTTTTTCTAATATACCCCTCCATTAATGCAATCAATATTCAAGGTAATTAATTTATATTTGTGATAACAAATTAAGCACATTAAATAGGGGTATATTAAGAAACTAATATATTAACTGCACTCATAAATAAAAAAACATGACTATAATTTGATAAGGATGAAAAAGAAAAACAAGATGAACTTTATAGGATGAAGTGAGTAATATATGTGTGTATCACCATATATACACTTGATTTAATAATTATTAGTTAAACATATTAGATCTCGTTAATTGTCTTAATAACTTCGATTTACGAGCACATAGTGCATGATTCATAAGCAGATAAAAATTCAAAGTACATGTTTGGTTGTATTGAACATGATTATATAGTATTTTACAAAACTTTGGGTTTTGCTAGTTCTCATTCGAATAGGGGCAATGTGGCTCTTATGTGGCAATTATAATTTTTTGAATAATATTTTTTGAAGAATGTGTGGTTGAAAAAGATGTAAAAAATTTTATTATGTGTAATATTATTTTATGAAAAATTGTGTGATTGAAAAGAAGATTTGGATGGATTTTAAGTTTAAAAATATATATATAAGAAAATCTTTTGAAATTTTATCATATGTGATGAGTTTCTTGTGAAATTTGTAAGAATCTATTCAAATCTATGAAGTTCATTAGAATTTATAATTCTTTAAAATTCATTAAAATCTTAGTTGAGAATACTCCCATTGGTCATTCCTTCGAATAACTTAAGCTTTTATGGAGAAATTTGACTTGATATTAGAACTTTTGATGCAAATTCCTCATATACATGAAAATGCACCAAAAAATCGGAAAAGGGTTGTAACACTTTTTTTTTCCATTTAAATTTCACAAAGTTTGCACTTGAATTGTGGCATGAACCTCTTTCAACTGATTGGCATCAAATTGTTGACATGGAACATGAAAAGATTAGATATAAATATACATAAATCACCTATCGAGTGAACAATTTAAATTAAAAATTTAGTGTTTCAACACCATAATTAACTTCGCATCTTTGCGTATTATCTATTACATATTGTCATCTATAAGTGATAGACTACAAATCTTGAATCAACCCTAATATTATTTCATGTTGAGATCAATCCTTGGAACACAACTAACAGTTCTAATAATCATTTTTGATGAGGATAAATTATTTCTTCTCTTCTCACAACTTTTTTTGGCTATATCCTTCATAGCACATGTCAAGGAGAGTTTAGGGTTAAGTCTTGTGGTAGAATTGAATTCTTGACAGAAAATTGTGTGTGTGCTTAAAGCTTCTTCAATGGTTATGATGGGTTCATGCTTTAGTCTTTCTTTAACAGCTTCAGAACAAAGCCCACAAACCCATTCAGAACGTGAATTCCTGATGTTTGTAATGTATTCTTTTGTGCAATCTTCTTTGAGGCCACAGCATTCACATTCAACAGCTTGAAGAAGTTCATCATCCAATTTAACAATGGTTTCCAATTCCTTGCCTAGTTTGCTTTTTTCACTTGTAACATCGGATACAGTCTTTCGCAGCAACTGGCCACTCTGCGAAACAATAGAAGAAGCAATTTTGTTAGTAACTCATTTATACCAACCAAAAACCAAGTTTAATTCCTAATAAATTTAAGGCCGACTACATTTAAGGTCGGCTACATATATTGTCCATTGCTATATTTACTGAAAAATTTAACCCATTTTAGTTTAGTCAAAAATCAGATTTGTTTGTGGATTTTGATATAAATTAATGAAACGTATGGTTGAAAAGTTAATAAAAGTTGTGGATCTCATCAAATATGTAATCGAAAATGAGTTTGAAGAAAAATGATTTTTAAAACGAGAGCCAAATAGTGGCTTAATGTAAATAGGATACTACAAGAAATGCATTACCCGTGTTAATTTTGGCGTACATCTCTCTTTCTTACCTCTTGCATTGAGGTTGAATCACTATTTCAACCTATTTATAAGTCTACATTATAAGTTGTGACTGCAACCAGAGTTCGACAAAATATGTCCTAATGTTCCTATGACATTGTAGAGTATAAATATACAAGATCATGAACAAATAAATAGTGGATTTAAACCTAAGACCTTTTAATTAGTCTTAGGATTCCAACCTTGTACTGTTTTCCCATAGATAGGATTGTGCAAGTAGGAGAAGAAGGATTCTTGAGTAGAATTTTGCATACCATGTTTTTAGAAAGAGATGAAATTCTTCTTCGAATGCTCTAACTATGATATCTCGATCCACGAAGTTACGCTCGATAGTCGATTCCATATAAGTGTTGTATAAAATGCTGTATTTATATAGGATAATTGTGTGCTTATAGCTCTTGTGAAAGAATCTATGCTTTCAAAAAACTTGATGGACAAATTAATTAAACGTAGACTATATGAATGCATTGCTTTCAGTATGTTAGTTTCTTTTCATGATGAGGATCAGCTTTACTGGTTAAAGTATCTGCATTAAACAGATGAGGGTTGCTTTCTTGTATTTGCATTTAATGATATATCAAATGGCTTTGGCTTTATACTGCAATTTGCAGCAGATATTTAGTAACATCGGTACTGCGTGATTCAAACTAGAATCCTTGGGGGAAAAGGAACTTCTTGTTCAGAAAGGATAGAATATAGTGACTTGGGAGACTCGTGAGTTGCACGTGGATTCTTAAAGATCTATTTACTTAATGTATTCTCGTACGTCTAGTAACGAACCGACTAGAAAGGGGAAAGAATTGGATGGAACTAACCCTAAATTTACAAGGAAGAAAGTTTAGTTCTTTTTGTTGTTTTTGTGTGTTTGCTTCGCTAAATTTTTAAATGCTTATAAGCTATGGTAGATCTAAGGGTTCAGCGGGGTGACCTAGAGCCCCCAAATTCTTTTTAAAAAATTCTAGTTAGTCACCAAGTTAGCTTGTGGGAATTTGGATTTTAATTCTCGATCTTTAGGAACTATTCTTGATATCATTTGAATTTCTCACACGTGTCTTTTAATTTGCAAATTCACTAAACGATGAGGTTGCAATAAAATTCTTGTGCAAGATGATTATGATAAATCTAATTCGTGATCTTCATCTTTTTTTAGTTATTTTCGAGCTATATTTCTCAATCGTTAAGGTATATTTGGTATCGTTTCAAAGAACTAGCGACCATCCATGAGACACATATTTTGAAATGAAAAACTGTAAAATGGTGGACTTAAAATAACTAACTAAAGATTGCTACATACTGTATAAAATATGCATAATATTTAAGGTAAGATTCACTTTGTCCAATATCTATCTATTTATTTCTCACGTATGAGACAAAACTCTTGAACCGAATTGGATTCGGATCGAATCGAGCGATTCGATTATATTCTTCTTAAGTTAAATACTCGACTAGGTATTAAAATCGAGAATTGATGTGTTTAGTTCGATTCTCTATTCTAAACCAAGAACCGAATAAAAATCAATTATCCCTAATTTTTAAAATTTTTTATTTAAATAAGCTAAATTATTGTAATTTTTTAAAATAAATTTGACAACTAATTAATTGAGCCCAAGTTATTTGTACATTTTTTAAATTGGACTATGTTATTTTGTAAGAGTTAATGTAGTGTTGCTATAAAAGCTAAGATTGTAAATATCATCAGTTGGATTAATGTAGTGGTACTATAAATGCTAAAAAAATTAATTATTATACTTTCATGATTAAATTTGGACAAAACGATTTCACTTACTAAATACCCGACGATTCTCTTTAAAATTGAATCAAATCAAATCGAACCATGTCCAGCTCTACCATAAAATATATTTTTAAAAGAATTGCAAGCCCCCAGCTAATTAATCCTAAATCTGCCCATGTTTTTATATTTTATTTTAATTAAACCACTCTAGGTGGTACATTTTATTTATTAATAATAAAAATAAATCCCGTTGAAGGTTAAAAGACTAAACTTCATGAGTTCTATGCATGCTTCTAGTCATCATGTGTTGAGCGAGATGTCTATATGTCTCATTGTCACTTTTGAACTTGCTATTTGAAAATAATATCATAAATTTATTACCAAACCCCAAATTTGGGAAGTCCATAGCTCCTGGATCCACCGCTATTATAAGTCGTAGGTTCTTAGAAATATGTAAAAATAAAGGTCCTAATGAAGACTTATGACCAACTTATAAACAATTATGAGTTTTGCCAAACATATTTGCATATATATGTAGATATGAGAATCATGTGAAGTATAGCATGGCCTTATCAATGGAAGAGCTCATTTTCAGAAAATCCTAGTTGCTAGTTAGATTAACTTAAAGAAGTATGTACATTTGGCAACTTGTTCAAGTTGAATCATTATCACACTAAATTTTTCAACATATTATAAAATTTTTGTTCTTGAAAATCCTTACATTAAGTATAGAAAACACACCAAACTTGTCTAAATGATTGAGTCCCTCAAGTAAGATCGATCAGAATTGTAGAATTAATTGAATTGAACAATCTTTTAAAGCTAAATTGGTTTTAACCAACGACATCCCTTTTTTTTTTTGGAATTGGACCGTTAATAAAGTACGTCTTTTAGAAAAATTCGTCTTAAAAGAAAAGAAGAAAATATTAGAAAAAATATCACATTAATTGAGAAACGACAGTATCGTAGTAAATGATTATAAAAAAAGGTGCTTTTGAAGTTTGACATCTTATAGACATATAGAAATGTGTGAGGTATAAAATTTTAATAAATTAATATCATTTTTTTGTCACAAGAATTGAAGAAATATATTACTTATAAGCTCTTAATTAGTAATATTAATTCATAGCATGTGATGAATTATGTTATTCAACATAATTAAAATGGAACTTTAGGTAAATTAAAATTTGTAGATTTGTATTATAATTCATTTAATATTTGATAAAAGTTATATATATATATATATATATATATATATATATTATTTTTTTCTATATTTTAAAATATTTTTATCTTTATTTGGAGAGAAAAACTATCGGATTCGATACTATTTTTCAACATGGTAGTCTTTACCCTTCTTGGCCTACTCGTAGGTTATTGATTCTGTCCAACATAGTTATTAATCTCGAATCAATCTATTTTGACCAGAAACCCAATAAATCAAACTCTGGTTTGATCGATAAACATAATTGGATCAATGCACAATTGAACCTTCATTGTCCCATTTGAATTGATCGGGTTTTGCTCAAACTCAGTGAACCAGTAGTTTGAAGAAGTTGATTTTTTGTAAATTTTTAGAAAATTCACAAAATCGAGAATGCACAAAAGTTAGTCGTTGTCTTTAATCCTTATCATTATCTAGAATAGCCGTTATCTAAGAGTTCAATTATTATTCAGATTTTGTTTATGACTTTAAATACAAGTTGTAAGCTTTATATAAATTATTGAATTTGAATTTAGTAAAAAGTTTTGAAAATTTTCTCAAAGTTATTCTTTCTTTCTTGGTATTTGATATTTCAAAATTTAAATTAACAATTTAAATTTTTCGAGATTTTGTTCTCTTCTATAAACTTTCGCTGCGTCAAGTCGTCAAACTCCAAAAATTTCTAATTTTTGCTTATATATAGTGCAAAGATATGACTTTTTTTTCCCTCGACATTTGCAAAATGTAAATGGGGGGAAGAAGTAAAAAATTCACAGTGAAATGATGATAAAGGGGGGAAAAACAACTAGAAATTTACAGTTGGGAGGCGTGAAAACGTATTAAAGCATTGTGATTATTGTTAAAGTTACACTTGATGTGACTTGACCCTACCATTACAACTTGTTTGAAGGATAAGTTGGAGAGAGGACAGACAACTTTTGAAACCATCAAACAACTTGTGCATGTCATTAGATTAATAATCTCCAACTCGTGAATTTAACTGTTAAAATTGGTAAACACATTGCTATCAGAAAGCAATGCTAGAAGTATTTCAATGGAGTTTGAAAGATGGCAAGTAAAAACATATATAGATCTTACGATGAATATCTTCAATGATATCAAACCAAAAAAAAACGTTTCGTTCATGTTACTTTTCTAGAAAAAGAAAAAGCTTCTTTTTTTTTTTTCATTTTTTTTTAAATCAATCAAAACCAAATGTGATATTCTCCTTCTCTTTGAATCTAAAATCCACAATCGCTTATTTTCTTAAATTAAATAGAATTTGGTTAAAATAGAAAAGAAAGATATAAGACCTTCTATGAACACGATTAACAATTTTAATTAACAAGTTTGTTACGTCATTGATTATCAAGAAAGAGCTGTGCAAATCAACAGTCATCTCGTAGTGTCGAATTTAGGGATGGGCAAATCTCCCGAACCGAACCGATCGAACCGAACTCGACGGTTCTTGTCAAATTAAATACCCGAACGGATATCTGAATTGAGAATCGACGGATACGATTCGGTTCTCAGTTTTAGACCAAGAACCGAAGAACCGAATCTTTCTAATTTTTTTTATATTGAGGAAATCAAATTATTTTAATTTTAATTTTTTTCTAAGCAAATTAACAAATTAATGATTTCTAAATCCAAATTTTTGGCCCAATAATTTGTTTCATATCTAATTTTTTTTAATTTTTGGCCCAATTACCCATTTTATTATTTCATTTCTTAGCCAAACAAGATCAAATCCACTAAATAACCCTAAACACCTACACTAAAGTGTATAACGTTGTCTCGACTCTCGTAGCCTCGCTAATATTCCAAACCTATACAATCGTCGGCCGACACTCTGACCTCCGATCGAAGATGTGACTTCCGCCAACCGAAACTTTGATCGTAGCGATCATTTGAACAAGGTAGTTTACTAGTCTCTGACATTCCAAAACCATTGAATGTATCATTAATCGTATTTATATAACGTTGTTATAAATGTTAAAAAATTTAATTATAGTACAGAATCGAACGGAACGGAATGGAACCGAATCGAATCGAACCCGAACGGTTCCATAATTATATTTGGACCCGACGGTTCAATTTACTAGATACCCGAAAAGTTTGATTCGGTTCTTCCGACCCGCGCCCACCCCTAATTGAATTATTAAATGTAACACTATTTTTACTAACTTTAATTGTGAGAATTATTCTATCTCAAACCTCTAACCATCTGAAAAAGACTGATTATGAGAATTGTGGTACATAATCATTCTATATACAAGTTGATACCCAACAATTGCACAAATCAACTGGAGCCACAAATTTCATCCATGATAAAGAAACTAAATTTTGCACATGTTTGGTGTAGATTAAAATCAAATTTTTAGTAAATTTTCATAAAAGTTAATGCAAAGTATTGTCGGAAAGTTGTTGCTATCATAAAATACGGGATTAAAATTAGATTTTAATTTATACTAGACACGATTTTAATGTCTAAAAGTAAATAGATATAGCGGTGAGAGAAGAGCCCATCTTACTACTATGTTACTTTCAACTCTTGGTTTATGTGGTCATTTATATCTATGGGTCTATTTTGTTAGGTAAAATGGAAAAAAAACTTATGGAGAAAGAGCACAAAGCTAGATTTCCCTTTCTTTCCTTATTAAACGTATGGAAGTATGTTCATATTTTTGTATTGTGATATAAATAATTTAAATTTAATTTACTCAGTAATATGATTCTGTAATAGTATAGGATCCTTCCTTTTATACTTATTTATGAACCTGTAAACGGAGTTATTTCATTTGTAATTAATTGAACGGAAAAAATTATTAATTATATATATATATATATATATATATATATATATATATATATATATATATATATTTTAGTAGGTGAAATTTAATTTTTCAAAAAAGCTGGAGCACCCGAGATAAAATCTCGGGATTCAGTCCAGGGGCCGAGGTGCTGCCAGATGTAAAAGGGGCGGGGCCCGCATGTGTGAAGATCCAGGGTCAAGGAGCTGCCACCTCGACCCTGGAACGGAACTCGAGATTTTATCCCGGGTTCTGAAGCATCACTCTTAATTTTTTATAGTATAGGGTCTGTAAAATCATTCCATGTCTCATTAGGGGTGGGCGCGGATCAGATCGGTTTGGTTCTCTTTAGAATCGAACCGAACCAAAATTTTCGGGTATCTAGTAAATGGAACCGTCGGGTCCAAATATAATTATGAAACCGTTCGGGTTCGGTTCCATTCGGTTCTGTACTATAATTAAATTTTTTAACGTTTATAACAACATTATATAAACACAACTAATTATACATTCAATGATTTTAAAATGTCATAGACTAGTAGACTACCTTGTTCAAGTGATCGCTACGGTCAAAGTTTCGGTCGACGGAGGTCACAGCATCGACCGACAATTGTATATGTTTTGAAATGTCAATGAGGCTCCGAGAGTCGAAACAACGTTATGCACTTTAGTGTAGGTGTTTAAAATTATTTAGTGGATTGAATCTTGTTGGATTAAGAAATGAAACAATAAAATGGGTAATGGGGCCAAAAATTAAAAAATTAGAAATGAAACAAATTATTGGGCCAAAAATTTGGATTTAAAAATTGTTAATTTGTTAATTTGTTTAGAAAAAATTAAAATTAAAATAATTTGATTTACTCAATATAAAAAAAATTAGAAAGATTCGGTTCTTGGTCTAGAACCGAACCATACTCATCAGTTTTCAATTCAGATACCCATTCGGGTATTTAATTTGACAAGAACGATTAGGTTCGGGTCGATCAATTCGGTTCGGGAGATTTACCCAGCCCTATGTCTCATTGTGTGTAAGCTGAATTTATTTCTTTGTTCTATAAACCAAATAAGTATGTGAAACTCTCATAGATAATTATAAAACTTGATCTATTAGCTTTACTTAGTTTCACCATTTTGTCTAGAAGTTGAAATTTTCCAAAATATGGGAATTTCTTTATTTATATCTTCAGCACGATTTCTAATATTTTATATTTAATTGTATTTATTTTTTCTTTGGGAAAATAACTTGCCGTCAAAGTCACCAAAGGATAAATTATCGATCCCATAATTTGGATCCTAGAATTTTCGCCCTGTTTGGATGGGGTCACGTCCAAGAAGATTTATTGTAGAATTTTACTCAATTTCACAAGAGTTGTGTAAAAGTTGCATTTATTCAAAATGCAACTTTGTCTTTCCATTTAAGATACGATACGAAAATAAAATAACATTTTTCTTCTTTTGTTAAAATTATTATCGGAATCCCTCTGTGATGGACAGTATGGGTGTAAGCGGTCCGATTTTATCGATTTTTGACAAATTTTCAAACCAAACCGTTTAAACCGGTTTGAGAACTCAAACGTAAACCAAACCATTTTGAACGGTTTGAAAAAAACTCAAACATAAACCTAACGGTTTGGTCCTGTTTTAAACCGTCAGTTTTGCCATATGTTTTTTTTTTCATCTACTTTTACGTCATTAATTCATTGAATTCAATATATATTTATATCTTACTAGCAATAAATCTAAACCAAACGAAGCCTCTGTTTGAACCAAATTTTTGGGACAAAAAAATGAAAATTTGGATCGTGATCCCTCAAGTTCAGCCACCTTTGTTGACCTACTATTTCATGTTTGGGATCCAACTTCCTCTCCAACAGTCAATTTTCTCATTATGATGATATAAAAAATATGGCTCAAATATAGCTAAATATATCTACTATAAATTTAAATATCAACTAAATCAAAGTGAAATCATAATAAATTAAAACATAGTTTTTTTCATTTTTGTTCACTTTTTTAGGCTAATGACAATACAATAACATTACAATACAAGTCTACTAAACTAGATATAAGACCAAAAAAAATATAATGATGCCCAACAAGACCTCGTGATCATCATATCTAAAAAAAGGATACTGAATTAACCAAGTAAATAACCAACCACAATAATAAATCAATTGTTTATAATATCTAAAGATAACAATTACACAAGTTTATGTTTGTACGATATTACGAAATTTATTTAATTTCAGATTCTTACTTTAGTTTGCTACGAAAAAAATAATTGACCTGAAACTTTATTCGTAGTAAATATTATTACCGAAAGTCTAAGATCTCTTTGTCTCTGATTTGATATAATGGATTTCAATTTAACTTTGAAGATGCGTAAAAAATCTGAAAATGAAGTATATGGTGCCGGTGACTGAAGACTGTGTTAGATGTCGGCTAGAGTTCATCTAAATTCTAAAGAGAAAAAGGGTTTTTGATAGATTATGTTAGAACCCGTTTGGTGCACATTATTTGGGAAAATAATACATTTTTTTCCATTAAATCAGCCTACAATTTTTGACTTCAAAACTCTAAGATAGGGCTCAGGATGTGATGTTTAAAACGCATTTTTGTTGAAAAAATGTGGAACAAATGGGCTCTTAGTCTTGAGATTATTAGATATAAATTATAATTATTGGATAATAATAATATATTTGAATTAGAAAATTAGAAATTGACAAAAATACCCACAAATGACAAAATTATTGAATTTTAAATATTTGGATGAATTTTCAAAAATTTTCATTTTTTCATTTTGTTTATTTTTATATATTTTTTTGCCGGTCCGTTAAACTGCAATTAAAATTCTCAAATTTAAACCAAACTATTTTGACCAGTTTGATTTGAGTCAAAACCATTTCGTTGACCTGGTCCACGTGATACCAAATCGACGATTTCTAAAATGTGATTTCGATTCAGTTTTCCGATTTGACAATTTTTAGTTCTATTGTACAGTGACTGAAAGGGAGATTATAGCATTAAAGTCAATTGAAGCTCACAGCTTTTGTCCATATGTATTAATGTTTTTTTGATTCGACAATAATATGATAAGAATTTTGAGACTTTTTCCGATAAAAACCATTTATCCAATGAGATTAGATTGTGGACTTCAAGCTCTCGCATTTCATATCGAGCTATTGAAATTTGAAAATTTGAAAGTTTGGCGTCATAATGGACAAATTATAATACAAGTTCATGTTTGGTTTTGTTAAAAATGTTTATAAATTATAATAAATAATTAATTTAAATTACATATTTTATGGACCCCATAACTCATAACAATTTTTCAATTACACATTCCATTAATTTTTATCAAAATATATTAAAAAATTAATTTTTAACAAAATCATAGCGGAGCAAGATTCTATGATTATAGATTTTTTTCCTTCTTTTTATATTTCAGCGGGGCCTGAGACGCGCTTGCATCTGCCACTTCGTACGGATGAAATCAAGGTTGCCTAACGACGTACGTAAAAATGAATATTTATTTTATTTATTTCCTAGAACAAGACCTACAAGATCATTGAATGTTAACATAAATTATTTTTAATACATTTTTGGAAGTTTGTTGAACTAAAACAAACCATAACCACACGAATAATGCAAAATAATTTCTTAAGCAAGAAATCTAGTTTTTTCCAAATATTAATTTATATTTTCCTAATTATTTAAGACATACTATAAATTAAATTGAACATGCTACGTCGTAATTACACAAAAGAATTTGATACTTGTACATTGAGCTTGATAGCTCAATGTATAGCCTTCTCATAAAAAAGGAGGGCCCGCGTCCAACAAAAAGTTATCGGACACCCCCTGTTGAGGGGGGCTATACACTGAGCTTGACAGCTTGGTGTATGTGTAGCACTTCTCTTACACAAAACATGCCTCATTTTAAATTTTTAATTAAATATGAATATATCTTTTTGCTTAATTATAAGTTAAATTTACTTTTAAATTACTTATTTTTTTTATTCATAAAACTTAATCGTTACAAAGTAAACCCAGCTAACCATTAATTTCCTCTTTCTCTCTCTAGACTTTTACTAAACACGCGTAGTTTCTCTCTCTATATCTTTTTCCATTTCTGTACATATATGACCGAATCCTCCTGATTTTCTCTCCCTAATTTGACCGTCTCTCTCGACGTTATGGAGACGGCGATGCAGGTGGAGGAGCTAACTTCCGGTGCGAGTGGTCGCATAATTCCGCTATTCAAAAACCTCCGGCAGTCAACCATTTCCTATAATGCCTTCAGAAAATCCGTCCTGTTAATCTACTCGTTTTTTGTATGGATCGTCCTGATACTCCCCCGCCGCCATCGCCGGTCTTCCTCCGCTACCGCCTCTGCTCCTCAGTCCCCCAGGGAGGCGGCGGCTTCCCGGAGTAAGTTTGGTCTACGGAGAGACGAGGAGGATACAATAAGGCGTAGGGCACTCGCGGAGGGTATAGAGATGATGGCGGAGGATACTGGTGACTGGAACAGCCGGTGCCAGTGGAATACGTTTCTGTTTAACGGTGCGCGACGGAATGCGCTGTTCTGCAGGTCGTGGTTCCCGGTTTCCGGTGAATTAAAGTATGTTTCTTTAATTCTATGTAGTTAATTTAATTTTTGTAACTGCATCAAATAGAGAATTTTGATTTTCCGTGGATTAAATTTGATTTTTTTTAATTTTTTTTTTTTGCTTTGTACTGTATCAATTATTTATTTATTTATTTATTCTCTTATCCTGGGGAAATATTTTATGTCTTTCCAGTTCGGTTTAGTCTCCAAATTAAAATTACATTCCTTGATATTTTTTTTGTACCCACGCATGCATATATAAGTCTAAACACGTAAACTACGAATATACTGGGGGGTTTTGCTGGAAGGAAGGTGAGAATTCTTAACTTGTTATAGCTGACCTTTTCAAGTACAAGTTTCTATGTTTCGTGTGATTTGGTGTTTCTGTTTCGTGTTTACTCATCTTATGTGTAAGCATATTTGCAGTCATATTCTATCATTCATGGCTCCCATTTGAATGATGAGTGTGAGTGTGAACTAGTAGTTTCTCAGTTTTAGTTAACACAACTTGTTAATGTCTAGCAAATTTGTCAGGTCACATGCTAGTGTAGAAGATTTAACATGATCTATAAGCAATTCCGTGAATACTCTAGAATTAAAGGTTTTCTATAAGTATAAAACAAAAAGTAGTAGTTAATATTCTTGTTTTTTGTCATAATTTTTTCCTTTTTGACTGAGTTAACCATTTGATTGGAGTTATTAACGTTATCTGGAGAATCTGGTACTTTCAACTATCAGTAATGACCAAGATCTGGTCCAATTATCTGGACTCTTGAATACAGTTTGTAGGGGTATCTGATTCTCAGCAATTTCCATGATCTTTTCATACTCGCCCTCATCATCATATTGTTTGTTAAAGGATAAATTCCACATCGGTTAAATACAGAAATATAGACCAACTTATAAGGGTTTAAGCAACTCTTGTAACAAGGTTGGTCTTTTAAAATGGAACTCCAAGTCTTAACACTGTTTGGTGGATATAATTTTTGTACATTGGAAAGTACTGCTGCCTCCTAAAGTTTATTAACTTTTTTTTGCAAAAGATGAAAGGTAAGGACTTGAGCAGCATTACCGAACCAACACTGCTGATGACCATCTGATATGTAGAGATTGATTTTTGTGTAGAAAATCATAATACAGTCCTTGACGACTGACAAGTTTTGATTGGAAGGAGATCATATCACCTAGTGTAAGCGAATTGAATAGCTGGTGAATATGAATACTGATCGTAATGCTTATTTGATTCTGCTGGCAACGTTTTGATGATTAAAAGTTCTTTTGTATTATGGACGTTGTAATATTGAGCATGAACCATTGGTCCTATCACTTGATATTTTTCTGGTGTATTTAGTACCAGTTATTGCAATTCTTTTCTCAACCATTTTACAACGAAAACCAATTATTGTAATGCTCATAACTGTCTTCCATTTAGTGAATTCTTGTTATTAGATAAAATTCTGGAACGCCTGGATTTAATCTTGAAGAAAGGAACAAGGGGCTAAGCTGTTGCTAGTCTCTGTTCTTTTGTGGTTTTCTGATTTAGAAAATGTATAGATCTACTTTAGCTGTTGCCTGCCATTTGTTTTTGGTTTCTGAACTTCTCCTACAAAGGCCATTTTCCATTTTCAGGGGTATTTTGATCATCATACATGGGCTTAACGAGCACAGGTTTTTTTCCTTACCTTTATTGCATGTTTTATTTTCGGTGTCAATTCCATGGAATGATCATTCATGAGTTGGTTGACATTTACAGTTCTTGCATTTTTTTTTCAGTGGACGCTACAGTAATTTTGCCAAGCAATTGATCTCGTGCAACTTTGGGGTCTATGCAATGGACTGGATAGGTATGGTTTGTATGTTGTTATCAGTTTATACGTTTTATGGATCCAAATTTCTGGTGGATGCTTTCATTCCATTTCATGTTTACCCTTGTTCTACCCTCCTGCGATGATTTTAGCGTGATATTGTTTCCTTCATTATATATGTGCATATATTCCTATGGCAGGTCATGGAGGAAGTGATGGATTGCATGGATATGTGCCTTCATTGGATCACGTTGTTGCAGACACGGTAATTTAGCTGCTTCTTTTTTTAATCTCATGCACAGTCGGATTCTTGGGCCATGATTTACACTAATTTGGTCTACATTGTTGGAGTACCTTGCCTTTTTAATTCATAATGCGGGTATAGATAATCTGATTTTTAGTACTGTGTTTTTTACTTTTTTAACAGGGGGCTTTCCTGGAGAATGTTAAATTGGAGAACCCAGGTGTACCATGTTTTTTGTTTGGTCATTCGACTGGAGGAGCAGTAGTTTTGAAGGCAAGGCTTTCAACAGAGCCAAATACTAGTCTCAGATCCTTTTCTTCTTTTACGTCATTCTTTTTTTTGTCTTTGTGTGGCATTCTTCAATTTAAAATATTACAATTGAATGTTGGAAATTATTCTCCTTTGAATAGGCTTCTTTGTATCCACTTATAGAAGAAATGTTGGAGGGGATCATATTGACTTCACCAGCATTGCGCGTTAAGCCAGCCCATCCTATTGTTGCTGTAAGACTTCAATTTATGCTGAATTTGGACCTATAAATTGTCTTTTAGTTTCCTTATTAAGCATCTGGTAATACGTACCTGACTAGTTGCTTGATTACCATGTTATAATGCATATTTCCAACCCAGAATCTCTTCCTTGGCATGATAAATGTTTTATGCTCCTATTTGTGCAGGCCGTGGCACCAATATTCTCACTGGTGGCTCCGAGGTTCCAGTTTAAAGGTGCTAACAAGAGGGGCATTCCAGTTTCCAGGGATCCTGCAGCACTCTTGGCCAAGTACTCCGATCCATTGGTCTATACTGGACCCATAAGGGTCCGAACAGGCCACGAGATTTTGCGCATCTCATCTTACTTGACGCGCAATTTCAAGTCTATCACCGTCCCCTTTTTCGTCCTTCATGGAACAGCTGATAGAGTCACTGATCCAAAGGCTTCTCAGGATTTGTACAATGAGGCAGCATCCAAGTTTAAGGACATAAAACTCTATGAAGGTTTCTTGCATGACCTCCTGTTCGAACCTGAGCGAGAAGATATAGCCCGGGATATCATCGATTGGATGGAGAAGCGATTAAGTCTCGCGTGATCCAGAATATGCCAGTAGTTGTTGGTAAACTCAAATCTGAAAATGTATTTATTTTGTTGATCATAGAATTGGTGGGGAAGATTTATGATCTATAGGCTATAGCTCTGGATTTAGTCCTTAGGCATTCACCAGAAACTGCTGTAGTATAGACTATGAACCTTAAATGTATTATATTTTGTAGCAAAAACTAAGTTGTTTCCTATACGACTAAAGTCTCAACATCTTGGAAACCTCAGCTGTTTTAAACCTACAAAAGGAATTCTTTTGGAAAATAACGTATAAACGTGTGTCGCTTTTCATTTTTTTACAAATTTTTTTGAGATTCAATTCATATCGTCATTTTGCTCTTTATTTTTAGTCTATCGTCAATATGAAGCGAATTCATAAAACTCGATTTGAAAAGAGGGAAGATTTTCAAAACAAACTCCAAGTCCTCTATCCCTATAATTAGTGTGCTTGGGAGTTCCTTGTGATTAAATAAATCAAATTTTATCGTGACAGCAATTTTAGAGAGAAAGCGAAAGTCTATAAACAAAGCATCTATTTTTTCCTTTTGACTTGTGGAGATCTATCGTACAATAATAAGAGGGCATTTGATATGTTGATTTTATTTCAATTTTACAAAACATTTAAAACTTATTTGATTTGGTATTTTTGAAATAAATTTTTAAGAATAAGATTAAACTTATAACATAAAAATCAAAATATATTTCACTTTAGAAAGGGGAAACAGGAGTAATAAAATTCCTCTTTCCAATGTCAAGTCAAGCACCTGAAGTTGTATTGATTACTTGCCTTGTTTGCGCCTTTTTAATTTCAAAGTGTATTATGGAATAGTGATTGATGTTACAATATGTGGTTAAAAAATGAGGAATCTTTTTTTTTTTTTTTTTGCAATATTATTTTAAAGGAAAATTGTAGTAGCGGTCCCTAACCTTTTCATTTTTTGCAACCTTTACCTTAACTTTCATTTTGTGCCAACGAAAGTTCATAACCTTTCATAAATATGCACCTGAGATCTATCTGGACAGAAACCGTTCAAAACACAGTTAGTTGACCAGGAAAATTCCTTGAACTATCTGCTACTGCAACGATTTTATTGGATGTTGATAACTTGTTAGACATTTTTATTAGATGTAGATTCTTTGACTTTTCCTGTCAACTGACGGTGTTTTGAACGTTTCTATACAAATGGGCCTCAGTTGCATATTTATGAAAGATTAGGAACCTTCGCTTGAACAAAATAAAGGTTAGGATAAAGTTTACAAAAAATGAAAATGTTAGGGACCACTGCTGCAATTTTCCTTATTTTAATGAAAAATGTGTGATTGAAAATGAGTACTGTAAAAAAAATAATATGATAGAACGTGGTAGAATGATTGACAAACAAAAACTTAATAAGATATAGGGAGGATTAAACTAAGATACTAAAATTTTTATTTTATCTCAGACTTTATCAAGATCTTTTATCTGTGTCACCCATAGTCTCAAACCTATAAAAAATTCTCACCTGGAGTCGAAATGAATGGAAACCATCCATTTGAACATTAGTTGATCAAAATAGAAAAATTTGACCAATTGTAAAAATAGCAACATAGTAATTTTACAATTTTAATAAAAAAATTAAATAAACAAAAAGGAAAAAAATGAAAAGGTCTGTTATCTCATTCACCCCACCCCAACCAAGGGCAAATCCAGGACTTCGACTCAGCTAGGACGACCGTTGATCGTTGGCCGTTGACTATCGATAGTTAACAGCCGTATAGCGACATCGTTTATTAATATTAAATCAAATAATATTAAATAATTTCTTCGATCTATATGTAAATATACTAAAACGTAAAAATCGTATATTTATATCATATTATATTTCCATACAATCCGAAATAATATAAATTACATTATAGATAAGACTTCTGTGTGTTATTAATGTTTAACAAATCGTTTGCTTGACTAAAAGTATTTGAGAGATTAGGTACGCTACTGCAAGAACTAGATTGAAATTTAGTTGAAAAAATCATTTCATAATTAGTATGAGAATTGAACGTTAATCAAAGATTAATCGTAATTAAAATTAATTTTAAAATATAATTAAAGTTTCAATTTTCAATTCTCAACACCAATTCATCACAAATTATTTCCCCAATTTCTCATTTTCAATTTTCATGAATCACATATTCATATTTCACGGTACTCAAATTAATTTTTAATATCACAATTCACGGTAAACAAATTCTCAAATAACATATAAATTAAAACTCAATACTCATAAGTCATATCTTATAAATTATTAAAGCATAAAATATTTAAAACGAC